GCACTGTCAGCATGCTGTCCAGAAGCTGCAGGTGACCGGCACCCTGCTTCCTGATTTGGGGCACCACCATCTCAACTTCTAAGCAACAATGTTGGAGGACTCACTCTTGGGCTCTCTAATTGCTAATAAGTTAACAAAGGGAAAAGTAAAACCCAAGTGGAGATAAGGTGGAGGGGTCTGGATTAACGGAGACTCTATTCAGGCTGTCTGAGCTTCTTAGCAATGAAAGACAGTCAGGATTTTTTTCTAGAGAGGAAGGAGGGCGGGCGGGAGGATGGGAGGGGGAAATGGGAAAACGAAAATGAAAGAATTGAAAAAAGGCTATGGATGCTCTTTGCCAAGGCGTAATTTTAATTTTCTTCAAGGCTCAGAACCAGCAGGAGGACTGGAACTCCCTCGAGAGAGGCTGGCAAGAACATAAGATAATTATACAACTTAAACTTGGTAAAGCAATGTAAGCGGTGTGGTTGCCAGTTGAGGTGATGTAAGTCCATGTTAACTGGAGTTAAGACAATGGCACTTCATATTTAAAGGAGCACTATGTATCTCTAAGTATTAAAACTTCCTCAGAAGGTCTCCAGGGGCCCTCAAGTAAGTCACGTCTGTACAGATGGATGTGACAAGAGGAGTCTAAGATCTACCCCTGGTTCTAGCAAACCACGTGACCTTGAGGCTTGGCCTTCTAGTCTGCAAAATGGGGATAGGAGATCGACCTCTCAGTACTGTTTTAAGGAATAGATGAGATTAAATAGTATGTTCCATTTCAGTAGCACAACTCACCCTGTGTTATTGTTTCTGAAGATGTTAGGATTCTTTTGGAGCCTTGGAATGTCACACTGCAGGACTTGAGGTGGCAGGGATATGCCCAGAGAAGGTGGGAAGACCAGAGCCTCATTAACTGAACCCTCATGTCGCTCCTTCTTGTTTTCCCCCAGCACAACCCATGTTCGCATGTCATGCAGAGCTTGGGTACTATGAAGACACAGCCTGGGGAGCAGATGTCCCACACCAGAGCGCTGGTGGCTCATGGCCAAGATCTCCGCCCACTCCAGTACTGAATGTCACAAGCTGCACAGCATGGATGGGACTGGCATGCCATTGAGGAGAATCTGGACACAGGTCTCTGAGGATAACATTTGTTCCTTTGATTTTTTTTTTTTTATGAAGAAATATCTTGATCAATGTCTATTAAGACATCAGTGAAAATTTGCATCTCTGTAAGGCTAGGAACAGAATGTGCACATCGGGGGAGGGTGGAGATGGAGAGGAGCTAAGAGGTGACACTGACAACTTCACTGAGTGCTTACTCTGGGCCAGGCCCGTCCTGGCTGCATTACTCCTAACAGCCCCTCTGATGAAAGACCCCAGTTTGTGGTCATTGTGATCCCTGTTTCTGTAAGGAGGACACTTGGCACAGAGAAGAGCGGAGCCAGGATTTGAACTCAGGCAGTTCAACTCTGGAGCCCATTCTTAACTAAAAAGTACTTTAGTACACTGTGTGACAATATACCAGGCCAATGGCAGAGTATTTACTCACAGTACCCACTTTCCATATAATGAAAACTTGGATGCTTAACTTACATATTTCCTATTGACTATCACTATAAAGATGCAAAATAAGGCTTCTCCAAGGACATGATCCTGAGAACCTTGATTTTTATACTCTCTCACCCCCGGAGATGTGGCCATTTATCTCTGGCTTTTGTTTCCTGTCGGTAAGCCAGGTCCCTGTGGGTGACAACACAGGTTTTCTGCTGTGCTCCTGATCTCATGATTACTCTTGAAACAAAATGAGAATTTGGTATAAAAGCTTGTCAGCTTATCCACTGCTTCTTATTGAAAGTCTAAGAAGTTCATATCTATTGGTTCTTCTTTGCATCCTATTAATCCACTCAGATTATCTCTGCATTGCCAGAGTAGCTTAAATATTTAAGTGGTCCTGGATGAAACGCTCAGAATATATATCTGATCAGGATTCTGAATGCAGTCATTATAGGATACAGAACAGGCATTCAGATATAAATATAATGATCATGAAAATGCAAGCTATATGCCAATGTGTTGTTCAGGCCAATGATGACTCAGACTCTATATTTTCTGGGATCCAGACCCTTCTCTCTACCTGCTTACTGAAACCTGCCACTCATCCCTCACCCCTACAAGCTTCAGCCTTGGCACATCCTAAATTGGAGCCATTCTTCTTCTCCACCTAGTTATTCATCTTCTCCTGTCCCCTTTCTTGGTACACAACATCATCAGCCACATGTCCCCCAAGCCATACATCTCATTGCTAATGTCACTTGTCCCTATCTGATGTCTTGTAACAATTCACATTTACCAAGCAAATCATGACACTGCATCCCGAATGGTGCACAAACCCGCCCCACTCGCACTGACACTTCCCAGGATCAGCCACCATGGACCTTGTCTGGGCTGTGGCCACGGCCCTCCATCCCATCTTACTCATTTCATGCCCCTAAAATCTATCCCTGACCTTGACCAGGACCAAGGGGGGCCTGATGAAAAGTTGACGGTGAGAGCAAGGGCATGTTACATCCACCTCTACACTGTGAAATATATGCCTTGTTTATCACATTCACAAATGACACAAAGCAAATGTCACATCTGACAAGGCGAGACTCAAGGCCAACTCAGCATGAGTCTCACCTTGGTTCCTTGAACTGGATATATTTCAAGGAGTTCTCAGCTGGCCACAAAAGTAGATCCAACAACAAGATGTTTCAAAGAGATAGAGAAATCTCTGCACACTTCAAAGAAATCAAAGGAACCAGCACAGAGCAGGTAGACACAGGTCACTTGTGAAAAAATAACACATTTTTGTGTTAGGGCGTAGGCTGCCAGTTTAATTGATGCCAAGGGAGAAAGGGGCTGCCTTGAAGGTAAGCAGGCAGTGCATGGCGACAGCATGGAGGGGGTAATGCCAGCACGCCCACTCTGCTGACATTCCTGAAGTAAGTCCTAGCCTGCTTGCTCTTGAGCATCCCTTCTACCTCCTCTCCCCTTCTGGGTCAGGATATCCCACTTACCTGAATGACCTTGGCCAACTCACTTAGCCTTTCTGTACTTCAACTTCCTCATCTCTAAAATTAAAATGACAATATTACCTAGTAGAGGCATTTGTTCAAAGCTTAAAAGACAATTATTAAAGGCTATTACTCTTATTTTCCAGATGCCAAACAGAGGTTCAGAGGGTTAAGTTACTTTCCCGAGGTCACACAGCTATCAAGTTGCTACTGCTATTGGATACCATACCTGGCCACCAGCTAGACTTTATCTCAGCCTCCCTTTCCCTCTCACCCAGCATAAGTGGATGAGTCTGGATTCCAGTTTGATCCTGGCCCACAGGCACCAGGCTGTGCCTGACACTCTACAAAGAATCAGATGTAGTGAAAATCATTACTATTTCTCCTCCATATTGAGCAGGAAGCATGGTACTGAGTTCCTATAGTTGTATTCTGAGCCTATTCAGTTCACTAGAAATTCACACATTGCAGAACTTATCCATGGAGAGCTTAATGTACAGTCCTCTCTGTCACCCTCTGAAACCTGCTTCACGATCCATCGTGTGTATTTGTGAGCATGTGTGTGAGCATGTGTGGGTGAACGTGTGCAAACATGTGCATGCGTATGTGCATGAGCATGTATGTGTGTGTGCTTATGGGCATTTCCCCTCAGAGTTCACCTCTGAAACTGCCACTCCACCCTATTCACATCATTTACTCCAATGCTTTCCTTGTTCACCACCAGGCACTAAAGTCTGGTCTAAAATAGTGACGGTTTTGGATCCTTAAGGTGTCCAAGTTCCAGGGAAAGCAAAGTGACAGCTGAGGAGTCAGGGTAAAAAGAAGAAAAATGCGGGGCGTGGAGCACACATTTTTATTCTCTCCTTTTAAGAATCTGGCACCGAAAGCTCACCTCCTTCCTGCCAGGAATGGAACAGGAGTGACTTGGCAGCAGTCTCGAGCCAGATGTCACCTCATCTGGTTGCCTTGGCTGCTTAGTTGTTTGGAATGAGCAGCCCAAACACAGCGCAGGCGGGGCTCCTGCGAGGCTGTGGGCCGAGCTGGGTGGCAGCCCCAGCAATGCCCAGATCCTCAAAGGGTGGGGGAACTGCCAGGGAAGGGAGCAACTCTGCTCAGGGCAGGGGTCTTCTGGAGAGCAACTTTGAGCCCTCAGTCGCCCTGGCACTGGGCACAGCCATGACTTGCTATTTTCTGAAGATAAGGCTCCCAGTGTATCTGGGATCCAGTCCACAGTGAAGCAGCCCCTGCTCCCATCTCTTCGTCCAATGTTTGCAGGGCTGCACTGGGGAAACAGATGGAGGCGCAAAGCACAGTACAACCTCTGCATCTAGCGGCCTGTGACCTTGGCCCATGCAGCTTGGCCTTCATGCCCTCCGGTCCAGGCTGAGCTCAAAGCAGTCCTGGGGCACCCTGGGGAACAGCCACATCCCAGGCAAACACTGGCGAGGAGCTGCACAGTCTTAGAATGGAGGAGTCCGAAAGCTGTGCCTGGGAGCAGGCACATGCCCCATTCATGTCGCGTGGCCAAATGCTGAAGGGTCTCAGACTGAGGGGGTGGCCTTGGGACCAAGGGTGTCCTCTGGAATGAGCCCCCCAGGGTCACCTGAAACCCAAGGCAGGCGCCTGTAGAACAAAGCCGAGAGCTCAGACATTTTTGCATGCACATCAATGTGTGCGATGGGCGGGCGGCGTGCGGTACAACCTGCCAACAGGCCCATTTTGGTCACCATCTGCCGTGGAGAGCCTGAGCACCTGTCGCAAACAGCTGCTGATGGCAGAGCGTAGGTGAGGGAGGGGAGGCAGTCCCGCCCCGGGGTGGCCTTACAGAGTGCACAGGGCCTGTCCCCACAGGAATGCCAACTGTTCACTTGGAAGCCCGTCCCACTTAGGAGGGGGTGTGACAAAATCCTGGCCATTCCGTGACTTCCGCAAAGGAAGTGGGGGAGTGACACTGCCCTTGACTTTGGGACCAGGCATGATAGTCACTTGCTACAGAAGCTGGGGAGAAAGGCATTCAGGATTCACAGTTGGGAAGAGGAAAATGCCAGGGCAGCTGCTCCCTGGAGGTCTGAACCCAGACTCTCCCAAGGTGAGATCCTGGCCTCACTGCCCATGGAGGAACAACAGTTACTCCATGTCTCCGGCCCTATTGGGAACAAAACATCATATCCTGTCACTGGGTGAGGTAACGCCTTGAATGAGCATCAGAGGGTGACATGGCTCAGGGCTGGGTCCTCTGAAAGATTTTTGTTTAGGTACATGACCTTGACCGGAATCGAACCTAGGACTTTTCAGTCCACAGTCTGGCGCTCCATCCACTGAGCCAAACCGGTTTCAGTGGATTTTTGTTTAGGTAAACAAAGTTTACTCCATTATGATGAAATAAAAACCTCAAATACTGTAATAACTTTTAATGAAAAATCTTCTTGAGTGAGTTATTACCCCCTGCCCAGCATGTTCTCAAGTATTTGTTGTATATTATCTTCTCATTGGCTGTATTTTACTACCTGATTTTTAATATAAAATCAGGGGATAGGCCCACAACCTTGACCGGAATAGAACCTGACACTCTATCTACTGAGCCCAACTGGCTAGGGCTAACTACCTGATTTTTAAAATTCCTGACAACAGTCCTATATGTCAGGTTCAGTTTTTATTCCCGTTCACTACCTCAGAGAACTAAGGCTTAAAAAAGTAACTCTATTCACCAGAGACCCCACTGGTAGACACAAAGCTGGGGTTCCAGCCCAGCCATGTGCCTCCAGCCTGAACCAGTCAGCCATGCTCCTACTTCTCCTAATGGTGTCCCCCAAGCAATTTCATCTTTGTGAGGTCTTAGAGGTCTTAAAGAACACCCACGCTTGTGCCACACACACACATATGGGCCTCTGTGGGCCACATAAGGCACATGCTGTGGGCACTTCCGGAAAAAGCTTTTCTCCACAGAGCTACCGACAGCCTTTCTCTTGAATGTCAAAGCCAGCTTGAAGGTCCCTGTCCCCAGCTCAAAGCTAGGAGACTGTCCTAGTCATCCATGGAGTCAAATTAGTGGTTCTACTTTAGTAACTGTGTAGGACCCTCTGCCTCCGTGTGTGTGTGTGTGTGTGTGTGTGTGTTCCACCTTTGTCTCCAGCTTGACCTTCCCCTAAAATGTGTATTTGTCCTGGCCTTGTTTTATTGTATTTTTGTAAGCCATCTCTAATGTTCAGGAAATAAAGCAGAAGCATAAACAAATGAATGGACACATATTTGTGTCCAAGGCCCTGACATTGACCCTTGGGAACCAGGCTCATTCCCAATGCTTTCATTTCTTTGGGTGCAAATATCTAAGATAGGAATTGCTGGGTCATATGGTAATTCTACAGTTTGAGGAACTGCCTAATTGTTTTTCATCGTGGCTGCACCATTTTGCATTCCTACCAGCACCGCACAAGGGTTCCAGTTTCTCCACATCCTCACTAATACCTGCTATTTTCCATTTCAATGGGTATAAAGCAGTATCTCATTGTGGCTTTGATTTATTTTTTTCTCTAATTACTAATAATATTGAGCATCTTATCATGTACTTATTGGCCATTGCATATCTTCTTTGGATAAATGTCTAGACAAGTTCTTTGCCCATTAAAAAAAAAAATATGTTTTTATTGATTTCAGAGAGAAAGGAAGAGGGAGAGAGAGATAGAAACATCAATGATGAGAGATAATCATGGATCAGCTGCCTCTTGCACAACCCCTTCTAGGGACTGAGCCTGCAACTCAGGCATCTGCCCTGTCCGGAATTGACCCTATACCCTTTCGTATACTGGATGACACTCCAACTGGCCAGGGTCAGCATTCCTTTTTAAAACTGCTCCTTCCTCTTCTCTTTCTGCCACAACCTCAGCAATGTAACTTCCCCAAAGGCCCATCCCCTACATCCTTCAAACAGATCATTGTTGCTTCTAGGTAGCAGGTTCCCCATTCAAAGTCAGCACTATCAACCCAATTTTCTTTCTTTTCTCCCTCATTTGTTCCCATTCCTGCTTTCCCTCTCTCAGTTCCATCATCAACCATACGAGGGGAAGCTATAGGGTTATTCTTAGCTCCAGCCCTCATTCACTCATTACTTATTTAACCATCACCCCCATATAAAGAGACTGAATATGTCATAGGTCATAAAGTCCTCCCATTTTATTTTTTATTAAATCTACCTTATCCCTTTAATCCTCTCCACCACTATCTTATTCCAGTCTCTCCCTCATCATTTCTTACCCTTGAGCCCTTTTCCTGCCCCCAGGTCCACACGGGGTCAGCGCAACCTCCACAGCTCCTCCAGAGTGATGTGTAACATGAGACTATCTCCACTGCTCCGCTCCTCAAAGACCCCCATTTCCAGGAATACAATCCATCCTACCCATTCTCCCAACACACACACACACACACACACACACACACACACACACACACACACGATGCCTTAGATGCACTGAAACTGCTGCTGGTCCCGAAATCATCCTTTTGATCATTTTCTTTTTCTTTCTTTCTTTCTTTCTTTCTTTCTTTTCTTTCTTTCTTTCTTTCTTCCTTCCTTCCTTCCTTCCTTCCTTCCTTCCTTCCTTCCTTCCTTCCTTCCTTCCTTCCTGGTCCCGAAATCATCCTTTTGATCATTTTCTTTTTCTTTCTTTCTTTCTTTCTTTCTTTCTTTCTTTCTTTCTTTCTTTCTTTCTTTCTTTCTTTCTTCCTTCCTTCCTTCCTTCCTTCCTTCCTTCCTTCCTTCCTTCCTTCCTTCCTTTTTTTTTTTTAAATATATTTTATTGATATTTTACAGAGAGGAAGGGAGAGAGACAGAGAGCTAGAAACGTCAATGAGAGAGAAACATCGACCAGCTGCCTCTTGCACACCCCCTACTGAGGATGTGCCCGCAACCCAGATACATGCCTTTGATCGGAATTGAACCCAGGACCTTTCAGTCCACAGGCCGACGCTCTACCACTGAGCCAAACCGGTTTCGGCTCATCATTCTTTCGCATATTGCTTTCCTCTTGCCAGGGCAGTCCTTACTCCTGTGGCCCTCATCAGTGTTCAAAGCAGTTCACACATCCCCTCCTTTATGACAATTCTGGATCATCCCCCAGAGCACCTGAAGCAGACTGGCTGCTCCTTCATGTGTGTTGTATTGTGCATCCTTTGTAATTTGTTAATAACATCAACAACAGTAATAATGCTACCACCACCATTTCTGCAGGTCTCCCATATTCCAACACGCTGGGGGTCACCATACAACACCCATCACAGTGATAGCGCTCTCATTTGTTTCCCTGTCCATTTCTCCCCCTCGACAGTGAGGGATCTGAGGACAGCTTCTCACCCCCAGAGGGTGTTAACACACTTTTGCTAAATAGAGGAATGACTTCAAGCTCCCACTTTAAAGTTCTGCAGCCTTTGGAAAATTCCACAGTTTGGGCAGCTGCTCGTGTCCTCAGTGCAAATAGGCAGCTTATCAATCCAAAGGCTGGCAGCAGATCCGCGGAGCTGAGCGCAGCCTCGGGCTCTCTCCCAGAGCAGCCTTGCACCCAAGTGGAAGCCGCATCTGACGCTCCTGAAAGGAGCTTCTGCCAGGAACCAGGAACCCACCATTTCAGTGCTATTTTAAAAGCAAATTCAGAAGCCAGGGTGATATTTTTTGCCCTTAAGAACAAGATAACGCCTTTGACATAACAAGGTTAAAAAAGAAAGAAAAGCTTCAAACTGCTTTTCCTTTCAGCTGGAATGAAAAAAATTCCCCAATCTCCTAGTTCCAGCTGGCAGACCACTGGACACCCAGCTTCCGAGAAGGGGAGTAGGAAGATCAGTCCTCAGCAGCCGAGAACTTATTTTTGGCTGAGCAGCTGGTGGAGGAATTGCTGGCATGGACAGCATCTCCCCAACACAGCGTGCAGGGGCGACATGACCTGAGCAGAACCCCTGTCTGGACACGGGCGCCCACTCTGACACTGACAGTGGCAATTCTGTCTCGAGCCAAGGCAATCCCAGTGGTAAGGGACCCTCAGGAGAAAGGGCTTCGCAGCCCCACCAAACAGTTCACTCCAGGGGAACCTCACTGAGCCCCCAGAGGAAGCTCTCGTTTGGAAAAGGGGAGGCCTGTCCTGCTCTAGACCTGAGACTAGGACAAATGTGGGAACTACCCAACGGCAGAAATTAGCTAGTTCATCACAAAGAACAACTCTAATCAGAGGTGTGATGAGGGTTGGATTGCGTCAGGCCTGTTCTCACAGAGGCTGACTGACCACTGCCAGGAGTTCATAAGGGAGGCACCTGGGTGGAGTGAAAACTGAGCTTCTTGAGGTTGGGAAGCCAATGAAGACCAATTAGCAGTGGATGGAAGCTATCGCGGTGGACGGCAGCTGGATGGTGGATGCCAACATTTTAATAGACTCCAAGGTGGACTTTTATACTAAATTACAAATCTGTTGATCTGCTCTGATGAAAGCCACAGGAGTAATTGCCAGTCTTCTTTACTTTGTGCTGAATCTACACTACCTTTTGTAGTGTTGATATTGTAACTCAAGTTCAAGGCTGTCCACATTAACGCAAGAGAGAACAGTGGGCCTCTCCCCACCTCTCTTCCTTGCCAAGCTGTTACAATGGGCAGGCTTCTTTACTTCTGCCGTTTTCTTTTTTCATAATTTAGAACAACAAGAATAAAAAGTCCTAAAGGCTCTGAGAAAACAGAATGTTCTTCAAAGAAAGCGTTCACATTTATATTCAATCCAGATACCCAGCACTCCAAAAACATCTTCATGTTCAATGTGGAATATTTTTAAAAGGAAATCTAAAGCAAGAAAATATGAGGTTGGAAGAGGAAAACATAACTTTCACTGGTGGCAGGCCTCCCAATTCAAAGTTAGATATCATAGTCTGAAGTGGGCCTGGTCCTGCCTTAGCTCACCATGGATGGTCTTGGATGAAGAGGTGCCAAAGGGGTGGCCCCTGCCTCCTGGGATCTCTGGTGGGCACCCTGAAGCCAGCTTGCTAGGCGCTCCCGAGGAAGCAGACATGCTCCGGGCCTCACACTGGTGCTCTGCTCACACCGGGCTGTTCTCGCCTTCCACACCAGCCCCCTGGACTCTACCAGTCAACAGGCTGGTCTTCTGGCTGCTGTTATTTCAAATGAGCTCACTCTGAGCAATGCTTGTTAAATTCCCACAAAGTACCAGAGCCAATATCAGGGCCTTGGAGAAGCTTCTAAATATGTGTCCATTTGTTTGTTTATGCTTCTGCTTTATTCCCCGAACATTAGAGATGGCTTACAAAAATAAAACAAGACCAGGACAAATACACACTCTAGGGCAAAGTCAAGAGGGAGATTGGAGGCCAGAAGGTCCTATATACTTGCTAAAATAGAACTGCAAATTTGACTAGGACATGGATGACTAGGACAGTCTCCTTGCTGACTGGGACAGAAGGCAACCCGTAGATGAATTTCTGGAGTCAGGAAGCTGGCACACAGTGGATACTCGAAACCTTCACTGTCTGGACACCAACTGGGACATGGACACACAAGAATCCATGCATCGGCAAGTGAATGTCCAAATAAGTAACTCTGGCTGGGTGGGTAAGGGAAGGCTTTACCCAAGAGGTCTCACCTAAATTAGGCTACGTGGATGAGGAAATAGCCAAACATCGCCAAGCCAGTAATCACTGCTGCTACTAACAGCAGAATGGAAGCGGTTCTGTGAAGAAAAATGCTACACAATTCCTAATGCAATGGTGGCCCCTGCTAACCAGGGCCTAAAGCTGAAGCAAGAAAACATCTAATTCTGTTTAAACAGAGGCTGCCTGACTGACCATTGCCAGAGGTCAACACAGGGGCTGAAACCTCAGTTTCAGTGCCATATCCAAGGTCTTCAACTTCGTCTGACTTAGGCAATTTCACTTACTTAACAACCTTGAGGTTCTAAGTGGACATATTGGTCTTAAAACATTTCTAGCAGAGTAAAGAAACAAGGTCCTTCAACTGTCAAAAATATGTCATCCTTCTAGAAAGTTCTAATCATCAAATTCCCTTCAGCCCATATCTGAAGTCTTCATACTCCAGGGAATCTGAAATGATCTTTAATCATTCCTAAAGGTTTACCAGCCAGGACACTTTTAAGGGGCTCACGATGTAAGTTCTCACTGCATAATCTCCAGACACTAGTCCTGTGTCCACTAAACTCACATCTGGTTTTCCTTCAAATAGTATTTCCCTTTAA